TATACATGCTATGTTTTAACAAAAAAATAATGTATGGTATTCATGACGATATACCCCATTATTTTCAAAAGGTGAAATAAGTAAACATTTTCAACTTTCTACTTCATTTGGCTTGTGTGAGAATGGCCACTAAAATGAACTCTTATGCTTCCATTTTGTTTGATTTGGAATCAACAGTGTCATAAAATACTTTTTGTTTATTTGTACTGGGCAAAATTTTGACTTTCCAGGTGTGGCTAATGCTGAGTGTAGAGTGGAAATATGTGCTAGATTTCCTGTTAACACGTGAAAGAAATTCTCTGGAAGTGTTATCAATGTGCTAGTCTGGGAGACAGTATCTCATGTTGTCTGATTGGACAACTCGTCTGTATATGACCATAAAAACACAGTCACTCAGATGACTGGGACAGCTGTGGACCTGCGTTTGGATGGCTCCCTTGAAGAGTGCCCAGGGTCTGTTAGAGTGTTCTCTTTCTCCTTCCTTTTCTCTCATTTTTGTATTAGTCTAGTGGGCGTTGCAGGTGGGGTTATTGGCTTCAATACTCAATTTGGGCCCTGGCTGGTGTGTCTGAGTGGACTGAGCACTGGCTTGCAAACTAAAGAGTCACTGGTTCAATTCCCAGTCAGGGCACATGCCTGGGTTGCAGGTCAGGTCCCCATCGGGGGTGTGTGAGAGGCAACCGCACATTGATGTTTCTCTCTCTCTCTTTTTCCTTCCCTTCACCTCCATCTAAAAATAAAGTACTCAATTTGGATTCAACCTAAATTTTTCTTTTGAAAGCCTTTGTTTGGAAAGTACAAGATAAAAATCAGAGACAATGCAGAGTGTAGGATATAGCACTGGGTTTTATAGCAATCACATTTTTATTGGTTTCTGAGGGATTTCATAAAAAATGTTTTTATTTGCAGTTTACCAAGTTTTATAAACATTAACTAAAGGCACCTCTTTTCTTAGGGGAAAAATCTGTTGTTTCCAGGTGGGCCTGTCTTTAGGACCAGGCGCACTGGGGAGAAAGCTGTGGGCAGTCCTTACTAAAAGAGCAGAAGACAGTGGGAAAATCAGGGTTCTCTGCTAATTGGTTCTGAGACCTGAGACATCCACCTACAGTTATGAAACACTGAGCCCACACTTTACCACCATCCTAATTATACTCTCCACTCTTGTTGCCTCCCATTATTTGAGTCTTAACAGAGATGGGAATTAGCAACTTACTAGCTCTTTTGTGGTGCCTTCTTTTTATATGTTATAAATTAGGTTTCTGGTGCTAGGAACCTAATTGATTTTGACCGTACTCTTTGTGTATGTGTGTGTGTGTGTGTGAGTGTGTGAGATGGGTTTGGTAGTTTAATTGCTTTAGGGTCCTAAAATCTGGGGTCAGATCATTTTCTAAAAGTAGAATCTGTTATCTTATTTAGTAATACTTTTGTGAACTCCTTTGCTGTGATTTCCTTTTTGAAAGATGAAATAGACTAACATGATTTTTTTAAACACTTGCATGCTAGAATGGCTTGAATTTTGGCATTAAAACAACTTTGGTTGATGACTATGTAATTGGGGATTCGATATTTAAATTAAAAATAAATTTCAGTTTTTAAAAAATCTATTTTGACATCTCAGCACATCACTGATATGAGGTAATGCTCTAGATATTTCTGCTATGATGATGTCATACTAACTGGTTCAGTATAAACATGTATCCAGTTTGCACTCATTTTCCTTCCCTCTCCCCATAAGAATTATGATTTTCTAAGCTATAATGACCAAGGAGGTTTTGGAAGATTAATTTTTGATCAGCTGAGGGAAAATGGTGACAACTGTACTTGAACAACAATAAAAAAAGAAAACAAACAAACAAAACTATCTGATCAGCCAAAGCAGCACACTTTTTCTGTAGGAATAGATATTGTATCAAATAGTGACCTTTACGAAGGTCTAAACTGACAACCCATCAGTGTGTTTTATAGAAACATATGAGGCCCTTAAATTTCAATTAGATTGATTCTTGGCAAAGAAGTGTGACAAGGAAAAGAAATTGGATGACATGAATCAGTCATCATGATGAAAACTGGACCAAGGACAGCAAATTGCATCAACCTGGGGCCTTGCCTCACTTACAATACCAGTTCAGCTCCTGCTCAGTTTAATGAGAATTAAACTGAGATGCCACTACATTGTGCAGGGCCTTGTCTGTTTTGAAGGAAGAAATTGTTATCATCCTCCATGGAGACCACAATACATGGTGCTTTACAAGAGGCACGGAAGCATCTTATTCTGTCTAGGTTTTCAGGTTTGATCACCAAGCCTGGTTCTGAATACTGATGAGTAATTTTTTTTTAAGTCCCCAGGGATATTAGGTAGTGGTAATGAGTCTAAGATGATAGCTAAATTGGTTGTGTCTTAAACAAGACAAAGCCAGAGAGAAAAAAAAACAGTCTGTCTACCTGCATAAGTGGACTTCTCCCATAAGAATGATCTCCCCTTCCCTTCCCTGTGTGGGATGTAACCAGTGTTTGAGAGGCCACGACATTCTCTGAACCACTCTCCAAAATGGCTGAACGTGGCCCACAGGTGATTTAAACTTCTTGCTGTTACTTTTTAATTTTTTGGCTGAAGAGTAGAATAACACTTTGCATCTATTCTTAATTCAGCATCACTCCTACTTTCTTTGCAGCTTAATCATTGCATTTGTGGGAGCAATTTCTAGGGTCAGAACTGTTTTGGCTATTAATGATAAGGATGTTGGTTTGCTTGTTCACTTTGTTGTAGCATGCGCACTTTCTCCAGAAGATAAGCTTCGGCTTCTACTTTTCATGGATTTTAGAATAACTGCATTTTTGGGACCATAAGACGCAGCTAGGTTTTAAAGGAAAATAGGGAAAAAATTTGAAGCAAAAAATGTGGTAAAATATTTAATAACATAAATAATATAATATTTCAAATGTATACAGAACTCATTATTCCTCCCAAATTTGGGGGGGTGCGTTTTATAGTATGAAAAACACAGGTAAGTCTATTTGTGATTCATGTTTTTGTTGAATAGGGTGGTATAAGGCTACATGTATGGTGAATTACCTATTACGTTCTCAGTGAAAACAGGAGCTTTTGGGAATGGAAAATGTGAGACATTTATTACAAGTCCAAACTGAAAAATTGTAATGTAAGATTCAGGTAACTTTATCTCAGTTAATGAGCCTGTTCACTTTTCCCTTGAACTGACCAGTGGTTTAGACACTGAGGATACAGACAGTGAATTCAAAAGGATATTGTAGATCATGAAATGAGGTTGCCGGTCTTCAGGTAATGGAATACGCTGATTTGCATGCAGCATTGAGAAGAAACACAGTCAGTTTAAGCAGGAATTCTGCAATTATTTGTGTGGCAAGCCCTATCAGTTATTCCTAACTTAATTCCTCGGCCAGTCTGAAAACTTGCTAAACATACAGAGCATATTTCTTGAACAATTTTCACATAAACCTCTATTTCCTTGGTGATACAAGGTTTTCTTTTTAAAGATTTCATTTATTTATTTTTAGAGAGAGGGGAAGAGGAGGGAAACATTGATGTATTGATAGGTTGCCTCTCACACATCCCCAACTGGGGACCTGGCCCGCAACCCAGGCATGTCCCCTGATGGGAATTGAACCAGCAACCTTTATGTTCACAGGCTGGCACTCAATCCACTGAGCCACACCAGCCAGGGCTGATGATATAAAGTTCCTATGCATTCTAAGAGGTCTGTGTTGTTGCTGTAGTTTTAAGTGCATCTTTCAAAATTTGGCTTACTATAGTTACTAGTATCAACTGTGAATAAAAGAAGTATTTTAATTTGGTGTTTGTGCCATGTAATACTTACTAAGGTTCCAGTCCATAGAACCTTAGTAAGAATCCGTGTAAGTCTGTCATCAGAGACTCAGAGCAGTTTCTCTAAATGCTTCCTTAGGAAATAAAGGATATGTAATTCCTAGACTGTAAGTATTTCAGAGAAAGGCCACAAAATCTTCATGAAGGTTTTACTTGTTTCCAAAAATTTAAGAATTCTAACCTTACTCAATGAAACTTTGTAAAATGCCCTGTATGTAATGATTACTCAATAGTGTCCTAAACACTGGATTTTCAAATCACATTTATTAGAGATCTATTTTAGTCATCCTTTCAACAACTGCAACGAATGCTCATGTAACTCATGTAGTGGACAACAACTGAACAGTCAGGTAATACATTTCCCCATGAATGAAAACCATGTCCTTGGGATGTGCAGGACAAAGTAACCTGTCCTACAGTCACTTGGGGTCAAGGAGAAGAGAGTGAACAAACATATTGAAAAAAACAACCCATAAATATTGACAATGTTTAGAACTACTTGGTATTTAAAAATGATTGCAGGGATATTATTTGAGTATCTCTGGGAGTAGGTGAGGGTAATAGACTTTGAGATGAGTGTCAAACATCTTAATGTTACAGCTCCCATGTGTCATTCTTGTCAGCGTCCATTTTCAGGTAGTTAAATAACACGAAAGTGATCCTTCAGGTTCATCTAGACATGCCATGAAAATTGCTTTTTTTGTTTTGGAAATCAAATGTGGCTACCTCAAGTTTTGCTATGTAAAGACTCATTTTCTGAAATAGGATTCATCAGATTTTGTACTAGAATCTTTAAATTAGTACAATTTTCTACAAGGAATGGAAAGCAATACAAAGCAAATGAGTCGTGTCCAAAGCCTCTGAGTCCCCCAGTCGGTTTCCTGCCATCACAGTCACTAACCAGACTCAAATGCAAAAGATGACTTACTAGTCCAGGGTAAGTTTTCTACGGTTTCCTTCTTCCACATGCTTTTTGTTTCTTCTGAATATTTGGATATAAAAGCTCTTTTGGATATAAAAGAAATGATAATTTTCAGTGGCACAAAAGTTCTGCAAGCTCATGCTATGATAAATACAGTTTTGTTATTATTTTTCCATGTCAAAATACCATTTTGCTTCTTCTTATAGTGAAGAAAATGGCTACAGAGAAGAAAAAGAAATTGAAAATTGGATTTTGATTTACTTGAAATAACTACATAGCACAACAAACTCAGAAAGGTTAAAAAAACTGTAAATTCTCTTGCAGGTAGGTTCCGCAATACACAGAACCCATAAGATATTGTACAAATAAACATACCTGAGAGACCAGGGGAGTTTGTTCATACTTTGAGGAAATATATCATAAATGATTTTCAGTTTGTTCTGGTTATTGTGTTTTGTTTTCCAACTTTTATGAAACCTGTTTGACTTGGATTGGTGAGTACTATTTTTCAAAATGAGTTGCTTTAAGTTCATCAATGTATATGTTTAGATTATTAAGTTTTGGCTATTTGTTATTTGTCAAGAATGACATCTTCCCTTTCAGCTAGTTTAGGTAATCAGTTTGTACTGTCCAGCCATGCAGGCAGTCAGAAGTCCCATGTTCTCTTCCACATCGCACTTCCCTGCATCTGTTCTCTTTAGCAGGTTGTGTGTGATACAGCGACAATGCACAAACAATACAGACCACGACTGTGTTTCTTTGCAATTTCATTTAAGAAAGAATTTCAACAAAAGGAATCCAGTTCTTTCTAAGCTGTTTAATTCAATAGTTCCTCAGTGTTAATCCTGAACTAAGAAAAAAGGTTTATCCTAAAGATTGAATTTAATTTTCTTTTATTTGTTCTATTATTAGAATTTTTTAAACCAAGTTTTTGGGTGATAGATTTTTTCCTTTTCCTATGTGTCTTGGGGAGACATTTCAGAACCTTTGTAAATTTTTTTTAAAGTGAGAAAATGTCTACATATTTTTAAAAATTAAACTCACCTACCTGGTACAATATATTATGACCTTGTAAGGATTTAAATTGTATTACTACCTTAGGATAAAGCTCCTCCTTTGTCATTATATTATTGTTTCTGAGAAAGTGGGTATATATCTTATCTGTATTTCATCACTTAAAATGTGAAAAAATATAGAGTATTTTTATATGTAGATCGTTACAATCATCAACAGTACCTAATTAGAAAAAAGACCCTATATGAAGGGAAACCCCCTAAACTGTAATTATCTTCTGGACAGTGGGCCCACTGTAGTGCAAGCTTTCTTCACTGGGTAACTGTTCTAGAAACCCATCTGTATCAGTGTACCAACTGGTGTTGTTGTGAAAGGCTGTGTTCAGCTTCAGTGAATTTTTTTTTTTTTGAAGACTCAACATGTTTGCCCATTTTATGATGGGCGACTAAGGAGCATGCTGTGCTGAATGTTCAGCAGATTTTTACCAAAGAACAGCATGACCTCTGTCCAACCCCACCCCCACTCACCCAATCTCACCAAGTGACTTTTTTGTGTTTGCCCAGATGAAAGAGCTCTTCAAAGGGAAACATTTTGCCCATTGGAAGAGGCAAAACAAAAAATGGCTGAAGCATTAAAAGGCATCAAAAGTGGTGAGTTAAAAAACTGTTTTGAGCAGTGGGAAAAATATCTCCATAGGTGTATTACATCAAATAGAGAGTACTTTGAAGGTAACTGAAGTCTCAACATGTAAGAATAAATATACAGTTTTTGATAAATAAATTCCAGGTTTTTGTAAAAGTAAGCACATTTCTATTAACATGTCTGCATTTATGTCATAAATATAATTCCTAGTTTATATATCATACATGTATATGAACTGAAGCTTTGGAGGCAAAATAAAATAGTTAAAATGCTCTTTTATGTGGGTAGTCAAATGTCTTCCCTGAAGCCTTTGTAAGGTCAGATGCCAGATAAATGAATGCCATTTTTTTCTTCTCAGGATATTTTTCTTATTCTAATAATTAGATTCTGCTAGCAACTTAGAGATTTTTTTTACAGGTACCAGAAACACTCTTGATTGAAAAAACGTTATTTTCATGAGACTGGGAGATTAATTCTAAACTCTAAGAATCTCTACCCTTTTCCCCATTATAGTTTTCTGAGGGAAATTCTGTTTGTAGTATTTGGTTCTAGTGTCTTCCCTATGCTCACCTATTAATAGGTGGATGTTGGGAACTGCCCTGCCTGGTTTCAGAAGCTGTAACCCCCAGAAGGCTGAATGAGAGACCTTGGGACCATAAGCCCCTAGGAGACAAAGCTTATCTTCTTGGCAGGGGTGCCGCCTCTGCCTCCTTTTACTTCACCCTGCTTGGCCCTGAGCTTGGCTGGTTAGATAATGGTTAGCCAATGACAGGTAAGATTCCTTAAGGGAGGGGTGACCTAAGACAGGCACAGTCATAATGCCCCCCCCCCAAAGGACTTGGGAGCTATAGCAAAAGGGCGTTATGGACACTTGTCCCTCGGCTTTGATGTAGCTCGTGTCCTCATTCTGTCTGCAAGAAGTCTCCTAATCTTTTGGCTGCCTTACTTCAGCCTGAAACAATGACAGGGGGCAGTACAGCCCTGTGCTAGAAAGGGTGGGTTTCCTGGGGTGATCAGGCCTAAGAAAGAATACATAAAATTCTGTAAAACCTGCTTTGCTAAGAATGCTCTTAATTTTCTGTTAAGGGTCTGAGCAGGAAATGAGTTTGTTTCCCAAAGTTTTATAGCCCCTTAGCTAACTGACCCTGACGCAGAATAAGCCCTCAGAGTTCTTTGTATGTTATCTATTGTTTGATCCTTACTGTCTGATAATGATTAATGAGCTTTACCTGTATTCCTGTGCAAATTGAACCCAATAAAAGCCCATTGAGGAAAAGGCTCTTGGCCCTTCTCCTTTGAGAGATCGGCCACCTTTCCTCCCTAAGCAGATCATGTCTTGGTAGACTTATTCTCATCCATGGCGGCTGGTGGGGGCCTCTGTGGGTGGAGCTCCCCCACAGGTGGAGGAGAGGAAGGCAAATAGATGTAGGTAATAAAATATCTGGAGTTACCTTTACCTGTGGAAAAAAAGATCGAGCTGAAGGAAGGGTGTTGAAAATAGAAGTAGGAGGCAGAAGAGAGTCATGTAGGGAGATGGGAGCAGCAGGAACAAGAGACTGTGTAGCAGCTAAGTGGTGTGGGAATTTGAATTAAATTGATCATTTAGTAAGATTTTAATGAGAGGTTATGTGTACGTGTGTGCATGTATTGTATGTGATATTTCTTTTGTGCTGTTCATGAAATCTTACTGTATTTCTACTGAATGTGACATTTTCTGTTGATGAGCCTTACTGCATAGGTAAGCAGAATCAATTTTATTGAAACTGTCAGTTTTATTTACGTATATATTTGAAGTGGGATGAGATATGAAATATGACAGAAAAACATAAGATGAGAAATACATGCAGGAGAAAAGTACTTTTAATTCTGGCATCACCCAACATGGGTTTGTCTTAGAGATATACTGTGTTGGCAGCTGAGTCATAAATATATCTTTTCTTCTTCTACCACAAGGAATTATTGAACAGTGATCATTTTCTTAATTCTAAGTAATTTCCAGTACATTTGTTATTACATGTGGAAATTCACAAAGTATAAAAATTCATTAAAACATATGCAAATATTAAATCATGTTATACACCTGAAACTAATATAAGGTTATATGTCAATATCTCAAAAATTTTCAGATTTTTAAATTAATATTTTTATTTAGTGTTTTGTCATTCATCTAGGGGGTCTGGACAGGAAATTAATATTTTTTAATGAAGTGCTTAATATTTAACTGTTTACTTAATCCTCTTACCAACTGTGTGGTTGCTAAGGTACTATTTTTCTCCTTTCATAACTGAGAAAATTGTGGTCTAGAAATGATAATTTGCTGAAGCATAATCAGAGTGTTCTCTCTTACACAGAACAGTAACATTTCCTGAATTGACCATTTTTTTGTGGATGTTAACAGTACTGCTTTTAATTTTCATAGGATTTTGCATTCTTTTGAGTTCTGTGACGTTACTTTTCCTTAACATTTTCCTTTTTTGTTTTAAACTCCTGGAAGCAACTTTAAACCAGACTTTCAGCACACTTGACCATTTGGTCCTGGGTTGCTTTGTTTAAGGTGGGCTTGTACAAGTGCTCTGGGGTCCGACTCAGAGAATGTCAAGGTGATGTGGTCAAGGAGCAACCGTGACGTCTGAAGAAAACTCTGTAGTGAGTGTTACGTCTGGCTTGTCAACCCTCTCCGATTCTCTGTATCTGTTTGTTGAGGCACCCTGCATTGCCTAGCAATTCTGAGCTCAGCTGTTGTCTTCTTGGCCACCTTTGCTGAGGAGTGGTTGGGTAGGTGGACAGTTGGTGAAGGCTGACTGTAGTATAATTTAGATCAGTTAATTGCTTCTTCTTAGGCAATGTTCATTTAAGAAAATTAAAAAAATTAAAGAATCTTGAATTCTTGGACCTAAACTCAAGTCCTTCAAAATATCAGACACTCTTGTCTGAGCAAGTCACTCAAATTTTATTTTAGTTTTTTTTATTTAGAAATATTTTTCAAAAAGCAAGAAGTCAGTTTCTGACTGTGCACCTTGCTCCCTGTCACTGATTCTGAATGCATGTGCATTGGTGTTTTCATGAGTAAAATGTCCAGTCATTCCACCTAAGCAACAATGAAAAATGCAATCCCTTGCATTTATATGGTGCTTGACAGGTAGCAATCACTTTCCCATTTCTTTCACTTTAAGACAGAGTAACATATATGCTATGCTCATTTTGTAGATATTGTAATGAAGATTTAAAAGGCTGGAACAGGCGATGATGTTCTAAGAATCACAAGGTCCATTGTAGATAGATCATGCTACCTAATTTTTTCTTTTAAACATTTTCCAATCCTGTTTGCCAGCTTTTTTAATTATAAAAGGAAAAAGTAGCCCTGATGTTGAATAAAAAGATGGCTTTTAAAGTGACAGGACTCTTAATCTGTGCATCAAAAGACTAGAGTTGATTCTGTTAATTTTTTTGTGTTCTTGAACAACGATAATGAGAAGGATGGTAACTGGCAGTTCTCAGATAAAACTAGGAGTTAAATAAGAGCAATAGATAGCAGTGTTGGGAATAAAAAATACTAGGCAGGCCCTGGCTGGGTGGCTGAGTTGGTTGGAGCATCATTCTATGCAGCAAAATGTTGCGAGTTTGATCCTTGGTCAGGGGGAGGTGCATGGGAGGCAACCGATCCATGTTTCTCTCTCCTCCTTCCTTTTGCTCTGAGGTCAATAAACATAGCCTCCCCTGTGTATTAAAACAACAACAACTAGGCAGTAGTAAAGACAATTATGTTCTGAAGAAAGGTTCTGAGGAAAATAATGGTCACTTTAGCCTCAGTTCGTTGCACCCTGAGATGGCTGGTGCAAAATGGAAGCGATAAGAGTGACATCTTCACGAGAGTCTCTGGACCCAGCTTTGCAGCAGCCAACACATTCCAAATTGAGCTTTCCAATGGGAGTTTGGTTTCTGTCCACTAGGAAGCCCAAACTGAAAGATTACTATTAAGTTTACTATGAGCAGTTTTGTTGAGTGAAAAAAAAACTTTATGGCTGCAGTTTATAGGTAAAAAATCTTCTAAAAGAGGGAGAAGAAGGCCAAAATTTGAACTTTAAAATGCTGTCTCGTACAAGTATCTTGGGGACTTGGTTTAGATAAATTTCATCCATTTCTTTTAATCCTGATATAAAGACATACAACTAGAAGACTGACAGATAGATATTACTGACGACCCATTGTCATACTGAGTCCTTATAGCAGTGGCTAAGGACCGAACTCTGGCATCCAAAGTACAGCTGCTCCTGAAGAATAGTGCCGAATAAGCACTCTTACAGGTACTGTTTTTGCAAGGATTTTGGTAAAAAAAAAAACACTCTCAGGCAACACTCTTCTTAATGTACTCTATAAGAACTGTAATTATCTATTCTGATCACAAAACAAATTTTTGGAATCCTGTAATTTTTCAAAGCATTAAATGTTTTAACCTGGAGGCCAACAAAATTACTAATGTGAATAATCTTAATTTTTTGTTATGGTTTTATAGTGTAACATGTGGCTTCTTCTTTTAAGTACAATTCCTGGAGAAGCTGTATTACCAGATGACTAGCAAAATGATTGCTGAGATGCATTAATTAACCTTTACATTCACATAAAAGTGTTTTGTGAGAATGAATGTACACAAAATGTTATCTTTAATCATGGTTAATAAAGATAGGTTATATAAACACAGGTTTCTCCACTGCAAATGTTTCCTTGACAAATGACAGGTTGTGTTTCCTTTATTAAAAGATAATTTGAAATGTCTCACAAGTGTGTCATAGGCTGCCCACGGATCTTTCCTGCTTGCCTGCTTTGGAGGCAATAAGAGGACCACCGTCTGGAAGTAATATCCTTATATTAAATGTGGATGCCTGGGCTGGATATTTGTTTTAGTCCTAGATTTGTATCATAAGGCAGAGTATTCAAATTGAGTACCTAGAGGCTATGGAAGGAGTTGAGGACCCATTCTGAAATGTGTTAATCTTGATGATACTGCTTA